TAACAGATTATAATTTAATGACGATGTTTATCTAGATCTAGTATTAGAGATTTTGAGAGAAAGTTTTTAACTACTCATCGTTATCTTTTTGAGAAAGACGTTGAAAAGTATGAGATTACCTTAAAAATATGAAATCTTGTATTACAACTGTTTGGATATAAATGAATAATTTCATTCTTAATACAATATAGCATTATTCCCGAAGAAATAATGATCCAATTTGTCCATTTATTGTCTTCCCAAAACGATAGTCTTCAAAGTCTGGGTTCATTACTGAAAAAGATTATATTTATTCTTATTTTTACGGTTTGGGATTTGCGAAATTGGACAGGTATGATGAATGATTCTGCACATTAGTTTCTTTAAATTCCTAATTATTATTCAAACCTATATTTATAAGCTCCAAATCGAGCCACTGAGCTTCGAAATATAGAATCCATGACTATAGGGTTAGGTTTTGGATTTTTGGTTCCTATTGTGGAAAACATAAATCTGGCATGGGATTCTGGGAATGAGTCCAATTCAACTGTATTAGAATGTTTGCCTGCTGTTTCTATATGGTGCCAATATCTGGGAACATTAATGGATCTTTTAAGTCAGTTGTATAGCTATTCTAAATCTATTGAGAAAGAAAATGAAAGGATAGCAGGAATATTTTTAACGGTAGGGGGAAATTATATTAAGCCCTGATCTTATTTACACACTTATAACTCACTGTTTTCTTAATTAGAATATGAGAAATTTTTTCAAATCATTTGTCAGTATTCTCAATAACTCAAAGACTTGTGATTTATTGGGCGCGAATTATGACCTTGCAGAATTGGCAAAACATTCCATTCTTGAGGATATGGAATTTTTAGGGGTGATACCTTTCCGCCCTTTTCAACGGAATCTAAATTTCACAAACAATGTCAACCCCTTGTGTGTGATGATTGCTAGGTTAATTATGTTTGGAAAAAAATTAGTCAAGGTTAGATTTTTTTTTCCTAATCATTTGTGCGATCGACTTACTAAAGTTTCAATCATATTTAGTCTTTTGATATTCTTCATTATGACGACTCTGTGGGACAATTTACGCTAATTGATGAAGAAAGTAAGGTAAGCATTCATTTAAACCATTTTTTCCATTTTTGGCATAACATTGATTAATACAATTCGAATAACAGAAAAAAGAGCGTCAACAACGTATGATGAAATTAATGGCACAACAACGTTTAAAAGACGAAATTGACACAATGGAAAACAAGCTGCAGAAGTTCGGAGTTTCTTCTCGTCCCAACCATATTCCTCTTCCTGAAAACGCTGTATCAAAGCCTAAAATCTCGCAAAAACAATGTGTTGTTGATATCAGCGTTATTCTTAACCATTTGAATTCGGTTAAAAATTGGGTTGCGGATGAAAAGTGCACAGTGATTGTACCTTTAGATGGTGTGAATTATTTATTTATTTATTTATACTTAATGAGATATTTTAATAGTTATAAGATTGCCAACCTTAATTGATCGATCTTTTAAAGTTATTGATTCCTTAGATCTGATCAAAAAGGGTAATAATCAAGAAAATGTGCGAGCACGAGA